GCTATCCAGGCTGATATGAATATACAGTATCAGACTTTGACATTGGTCAATATGCATGGAGTTCTAGGCCTAACGGAGACCATGAGCCAAAACCTGGCCCCCCTCAGAGAGGCACGAGGGGCAATGGCCTATAGAAACCCCCGTGTGGTTGGAAGCATTCTATGTCTGCCTTCGACTGGGTCAGGTACCCAGAAAGGTATGCGCCCCAAAACAAACCCCTATTCTGGTTAACATTGCAACTGAAAGCCAAACTAGTGGACAGAACTCCCCAAATGAAAACGAGCATGACGTCACCATGTCGCCGCGCCGTTGTCTGCGCAACCTCCCCCCACCTCTCTGGAAGGGGGAACCTCAGACACTCGCGCCGTCTACCCACACCCCAGTTCTGAGGTCGGATGTCAAAACACACTAGAAAAAAAGCCGACCAGAGGGAGAGAAGGTTGGTGGGAGCCTCTGGGTCTCTCCCAAAAAATGATGTTTCATCATATTCAACGCAAGTTTTCTGAGGAGAGCCCCTGCGGCTTCCCAGAGCTACTTACCCATAAACAAAAACAAATGATAGGGACTTACCCAGAGGTGGTCAGCTATTGCTCCTAAACTCGAAGTCGAGATAACTGGCTGCAACCGCCAACCCAATGCGACACAGGCCCAACTGGGCCCAGGAACAGTAACAAGGTAGCGAGCGGCCAGGACCCTGTTAAACCTCAAAAAAAAAAAACCTTGCCCGAATGTCAGCCCATGACATGTTACTGAAGACGGCAGCACACACAGCAAACTTACGAACGTTGTGGGCACGGGGATAAACTGCCGGCTAGCTGGACCGAATAATCCTGCGGATGACCCGAGAGACTCAAGCCCTGGAACAGAGAAGAAGGGAAACCGGAACAACCCAAAGCATGTCCCTGGCCACTGAAGCCATGGCGAGAAGATAACGGCGGAGAGCCGCAACCGGACACAACACATGATGCACCCCTAGCCTAACCAACCAAGAATCAACAATCAAAATGACCCTTCCAGAAAGCAACAGACTCATTCTTCACCAGAAAAGGAGAAGACAACTGCAAACGAACAAACCTACCACCAGGACCAAAAGAGCAGAAACCCCTACACCAGAGAGCACGAAGCTCCCCGAGCCGACCCCAGAGGCCAATGCCAACAGGAAAAAGAGCTTTAGAAAAACAATCCTGAACCAAAGGGGCCACCACAAACCAAGGAGAAGAGAGAAAAAGAGAGCACCCGGTCCAACGACCAGGACGGCTGAGGCGGCACATGAGCAGGCCGGAGGTGAAACAACACACAAGACAGCATGCAGAACGAAACAGAAGTAACATCAATACTGAACTCAAGCTGCAGCGGCTCCACCAGCGCCGCACGATATGAGGCGACAGTATTCGGCATAAGATGACAGTCCTGGAACAACCACGAAAGGAAGGACAAGACAACCATATCCGAGTCAGAAGTACACCTACGCAGAGATAAGAAATAATGGAAGGACTGCCAGGAAACTTCATACTGCTGCCGAGATGAAGCACGCAGGTGGGACACCATCAACGAAGCCACCTGCGCACCATACAAGTGATGATAGACCCGAGTCAGAAAGCCCAGATGCGAAGACTCGAGGAGAAGAGAACCAGCCACGTACCAGGCTGAACCGATCTGCTGAAAGAGGCGGAGCTGCGGGAAGACCCTCGGGTTCAGACGCCAAGTAAGCAGTGCCTGAAACCAAGGCTGGGCCGGCCACCAAGGGGCCAGAAGGACAACTCTTCCCTGGTAAGTCTCCAAGCGAGTCAGGACCTGGAGCAACAGCTGAACCGAAGGGGGGGGAGAGAAATATAGGTAACCCCATCTTATTCCTGCCTGAAGGCATGGACCCCATCGGCCTCACAGTCAGGGAAGGGCGCCACATATAAAGGGAGACACAGTGACCACGCCGAGGTGAAGAGGTTCACTTCTGGAGGCCCGTACATCGGGCAGAGCCAACTGAACGAGTCGGCGTCGACCATCCATTCTGTGGACAGGGAAATGAACCAGAACAGACCATCTGCCAGGACATTAGACAACCCCCGAACGTGAATGGCCAGGAGAGCCAAACCCCCGAGAACTCAGCAGATGAGTCACCAGAAGCGACCAGCCCCAAAGAGCCAAGGACCGCATCGAACCTCTGCGGTTCAGGCAATGAACCCACCAAGGAGCAGTCCAAATGGAGCTGGATTGTCGATCCGCGAGCGACCCGAACCCTCAGGAGCGACATACACACAGCTGCAAACTCCCACACCGTGTTGTGAGCCCGACGAAAGGACGGACCCCACTGTCCCTGGCTGGCCTGGTGAGCACCGGTCACAAAGCCCCAGCCAAAAAACGACACATCCGTGAACACATCGAGCGCGGGCTTAGGGAGGCGCCAAGGCACTGAAGCCCGAAAAACTCGAAGAGGACCGGCGATGCAGCAACTAACGCAAGGCCCCGGAGGTCAAACCCAATGATCGCGAGAGGGGCGGAAGGGACGTCCCCGAAGGAACCAGAAGAGCTGACAAAGATAAACCTGACCCAGCAAGTAGACTATCATGGGAAAGTTCAGGCTCCCGCACAAACCCTTGAGCAAACATCTCGTGACCCAGGAACCCCTCCAGAAACAGGCGAAGGCGAGACCACAGCCAAAGCAGAGCCTCCAGAGGGAGAGAGAAAGAAGCAGTCCAAGCGTTCGACACAAGACCCAGCCAAGACTGACCCTGAGAGGGAATCAGATGGGACTTCCTCCAGTTCACCAGGAACCCAAACCCGGTGAGTTGGGAAAGAAACAAATCCCTGGCGAGCAGACACTAGGACCGGCTGGGAGCCCACACCAGCCAGTCATCGAGGTAGGCCACAACCCAAACACCTAAAAGATGCAGACAGGCCACCACAAGCCTGGTAAAGTGTGTGAAAATGCGAGGTGCCAGATTCAAGCCTAACAGAAGGCAACAAAAACGGTAACTCTGATGCCCCACAACAAACCGAGCAAGTCCCTGGACCCCGGATGAATCGGGACGTGCCAATAAGCGTCCTTGAGGTCAAGGGATACCATCCAAGAGCCCGGCTCCAACAGAAGACAGCCAGAGTAGTCATCCAAAAGGAGGGGCAATAAACCCACGGGGTTCAGACGGCACACGTCCAGAATGAACCTGAGATTTGTGCAGTCTTGTTTCGAAACCAGAAACAGGTGGGAAACCCACCTGAGGAACGAGGTCATTTCGACCACACCCAAGCGAACCCACTCAGATGACCAAACTGAGCACAGGAGAGGAGGCCAGCCCCGCCAACCCAGAACCACCTGAAGGAGGAAGGGCCACCAAACGCAATTGCAGGCTGCACAAAACTACCCGAAACCCCTATAAATCGTGGGACCAGGCGTGAGCAAACAGAGCGAACCTCCGCCATCACCACATCAATGAGATGAACCGTGAAAGGGGCCCTCCCCCATTGCCCTGTCAATGGGATAAACCGCAAAATGGTTGACGCCCCTGACGGAAACTCGACCTTCCCACAGAGCGATCACCGCGCCGACCAGACAAAGACAGGTCTGAAGGTTGCACCAGCACCGAAACTAGCCTCACTGGCCCACCATCACAGGAGGAACCTCAAGCCATGGCACAATTCTTCCGGGAAGATCCTCCCATGGGCCCCACAGAAAACCAACTAGTCCGACATAGGATGACAACTAGACGAGGCTGCCTGCAGATACTACACAACTGCAGAATCTGCAAACAGCAACGGGCAAAAAGGCGAAGAAAGCCTAAGAGCCAGAAGCCCAAGCAGATTCCATAGAAGAAGCAAGCACCGCCTGCCGATACACAAGACAAAGCAAAAAACAGCAACACTGCAATCTGCAGGATTGGCGCAAACAGCTTGAAAAGTGTAGACGACCCACGCACCGCTGAGGCCAACGCACCAGACCCAGGAGCAGCCCCAAGTGCCTCCACATCCTCTTCAAGCCAGACAATAAAAACATATGTATCTTCACTTCAGCTTTAAATATGTCTATGGTAAAGTATTTCAAATGAAGCTTATATTTCTATCTTTCTCAAGACATATAAAAACATTTGTGTTTACAGGTATTATTGAATTTATATGAAATAAACATTGATCTGAGAGAAAGTTGCTCTGTCGTTCAGTCTGTACAGGGTTGGAGCTTGGGGACTACTACAACACATGTATCTTCACTATAACTTTAAGTATGTCTATGGTAAAGTGTTTAAAATGAAGCTTATATGTCTTTCTTTCTTGAGACATATAAAACATTTATGTTTATTTACAAATTTACGTGAATTAAACGTTGTTCTGAGAGAGCGTTGCTCCGTTGATCGATCTGTGCGGGATCAGAGCTCGGCGATTATAAAAATACACGTATCTTCGCTTTAAATTCAAATATGCCTATGGTAAGGTATTTAAAATGAAGCTTATATTTCTATCTTTCTTGAGACATATAAAACTCTTACGTTTATTAATGAATCTGCGTGAAACAAACATTGTTCTGAGATGAATATTGCAGGTTTCGAGCTGGACGAACGATGAAAAATGAAACTTTTATACAACTACAAATATCTTCGGTTTTACTCTAAACATTGTCCTGGTAGAGGTTTCACATATAGATCCTGTTTCTGTCATTCTTTTGACATAAAAAGATTTTTGGTTTAATAAGTCATCAAGATGTTTCAACAATATTCTTGTGGCATTCGCCAATTTTAACATGGGCGACCATTGTGGATACGCAACACATGGGTTGACCCAATTGACAATCTGGTCAGATTCTAACAGAGGGTTTGATCATAAATACTAAGAAGTAATTCAGAAAAGTAACTGGAATATAATATTATATAATTATATAATAATGTATAATACATAATACAGAGTAACATAGTATAATTTAAGTTGAATGGGACCATAATTAAATTGGACTCGAATTCCAATGTACTGTACTGTATGTTTTGACATCCATCGTTAACATTTCCCTCTTCACTGACCTGCACATTCCGGAGCTCAATTCTGAGCGTGACGGTCGCATCAGTCTGAGCCCAGTACACGAATGGACTCAGCTGAGTTTCCTCCTCCATACTTCTAGACACTTGCACCAAAATGCAGCTTGTGGTTATATGTACATGAGGGCTTGTCTCCCAGGGCTCGGCCGCCTCCGCTTCCTGTCTATATGAAGGTTTGCCCTTCTTGACGACCCCCTCAGGTTGTGGTGCAAGAGGCGCCTGCAGGAGGGACGACACTGCTGCTGGGGCCACCACACAGCAGCTCGGGGCTGCCTGAACACAAAACCTTTTCACTGTATACACGTCACCTGTCAGCGAAAAACTACTGTGCCTTGCGGCGGATAAACGCGTGTTGAGGAGATAATTGCCAAACCTCTGGAAGATCCTTAATTAAGACGGTAAGGTATAAGGTGTCGTATAAAACTAGGCCCCTTGAGGAATGCTTGACGGCGGTAGGGAGACCCACTGGTTAAACTCGTGTCAGGTGTCCCGAGGTACAGCAGGTGTCCACACGTCGACTCGTCACCAGGAATGAACCAAGAGTCATTCTCTCGGTGGGTAGTTTTGCCTTAAATCTTCTTGTAAATTTCGTTAATTTATGATTGAGAAGGACTTAGGGCCTAGTACATTAAACACTCGCTTGTGGTCCGATTGGCGTTTTCATTTTCTTTGGGCAATAACATGTAGGTAGACTTAATTATTTTAGATTTGGAGTATATTTGGTAAATTTAATGAATTGAGAAAGTAATTGCATTTGAGTTTTTTCATAGAATTGAAGGCTAGTTTAAATCATTTATTATGCACCCTGTACCCATCCTGTGAACGATGAAAAATGTTACAGATGCAGATAATTGACCCGAGGAACTGCGCCTCAGAATTAATTTGGCTATGTAAATCACTACTTGCGTTATTTTGTTTATTTGTTTATATATACAAGAGTTCTTGCAATCTTGTACAGCCACTAGCACGCAGAGAACGTGAAATTTAAGCTGATCTATTAGCCTCCACTAGCAAAATCTGGGTACAGCACAAGAATATCTTCCAATATTCCTGAGTTATTTATTTATTTATTTATTTATTTATATATATATATATACAAGAAGGTACATTGGGTTTGTGAGAATACATTGGATAGTACAGTATTTACACTCTTGTAAAGCCACTAGTACGCGCAGCGTTTCGGGCAGGTCCTTAATCTAACAGATAATTTTAAGTAGGTAATTTCTATCAGAATTGATAAATGATAAAGATACATTGCAAGAGAAAATGAGATGAGAGAGCTTAGTAAGTATATTAAAGCACATTGTTGTATTAAAGCTCTGATTGATTACATTGACAGCTTGATTAGTAATTTAAACAAGATTAATAGACACCATACAGCAGATTGACAGCACATATAAGACAGCAATGATCACAATGGTAAAAATGTTCAGATTGGGTACAAAAAGATTGGGAGACTGGGTAGCAATAGATACAGATAAACAAGATTAATAAACACCATACAGCAGAATGGCAGCACATATAAGAAGACAGCAATGATCACAATGGTAAAGATGTTCAAATTGGGAACATAAAGGTTGGGAGATTGGGTAGCAATAGATACAGTGCAATTTTAAGGCAAAAAGTGAAAAACTATGAAGATGAAATTAGGTACTTTTTAGTATTGATTTTGAATGATGTAAAAGTTGGACAGCTTTTCAATTCAATAGGGAGTGAGTTCCATAAACTGGGTCCCTTTATTTGCATAGAGTGTTTACACAGATTAAGTTTAACTCTGGGGATATCAAAGAGATATTTATTTCTGGTGTGGTGATAATGGGTCCTATTACATCTGTCCAAGAAGAGTTTCAGAGCAGGATTTGCATTTTCTGACCAGGGGGAAAAAGACACAGGCCGATTGGGGCTTAAATTTTATTAGTAAATTAAATTCTGCAGAACATGTAAATAATATAAGTAGGAATTAACAAATGTAACATGTCCATGTCTGAGGACTAAATTAACTTAAAATGTACCCCCGTAGTAGTAAGCATAGCCTAGTGACATGGCAAACACGTTCTGCAGAAACCTAATGGCAGAAGAAATGTAATTAGAACTAGGTATAACAGTCAGGACACAAAGGGGAAATAAAGTGTATAGCCACAACACTTAACGGAGCCCGACCAAGACATAATGGGAAATCCTAGAATTAACAGGCGGGCAGAAATACTAGTGACTGGGGAAAACTGATATGACAAATGGGGGAAGTTTTCCCAGGGCGTGAGGCCGGCCGCCAAGGAATAAGGAGAAGGGTTTCCTGACTCTTACTAGCACCTAGACTGGGCAAAGGATTAGCTGCGGACAGCGGGACACTTTGGGACCGGCGCTGCACCCCCTTCCCCACTTGCGGTGGGGAAGACAGAGGGACACTGGCACAAAGCATGACTGGGAACTGCCACTTACATGAAGGGGAGGCGGGTGGGAGTTTCGAGTACTCCGACGGTCGGGTGGAGAGAGAGAGAGCCCCGATTGATTGATGAAGATTAAGCCACCCAAAAGGTGGCACGGGCATGAATAGCCCGTAAGTGGTGGCCCTTTTGAGCCATTACCAATATCAATAGATGATATTGGAGATCTGTGGAGGTGCGATTGCACCCTGCGTGACGGGAGATGTCTCCCGTTGAGAGAGAGAGAGCCCCTCTCTGCCCCGGATCACCGTTACATCTAATGGTGATAAAGATGAGCTAGCCGGAAGAAAGTTAATGGTGAAGTTCAAGCACTGCTCAAAATCCTTAGCTACTGATACGAGCTAGATGGTGTTGATACGAGCTAGATGGTGTTATACGAGCTAGATGGTGTTGTGATTGCGAAGTCGGATTGCGAAAGGGATCTGGGAGTTATGATTAGTAAGAATTTAAAACAAAAGGATCAATGCATAAATGTTCGTAATAAGGCAAATCGGACACTTGGATTTATTAATCGCAGCGTTAGTAACAAGACACCTGGTGTGGTTCTCAAGCTATATCTTGCTCTAGTTAGGCCCCATTTAGATTATGCAGTTCAGTTTTGGTCGCCATATTATAGAATGGATATAAATTCACTTGAACGTGTCCAGCGTAGGATGACTAAGTTAATTCCCCAAATTAGAAATCTTTCATATGAAGAAAGATTAACAAAGCTTAAGTTGCATTCACTGGAAAGGCGAAGAGTTAGGGGTGACATGATAGAGGTTTACAAGTGGATGAATGGACATAACCGGGGGATATTAATGGGGTATTGAAGGTATCAACACGGGACAGAACACGAAACAATGGGTATAAGTTGGATAGGTTTAGATTTGGGAAAGACTTGGGTAAATACTGGTTCAGTAACAGGGTTGTTGATTTGTGGAACCAATTGCCGCGTAACGTGGTGGAGGTGGGGTCCCTCGATTGTTTCAAGCACGGGTTGGACAAGTATATGAGTGGGATTGGGTGGTTATAAATAGGAGCTGCCTCGTATGGGCCAATAGGCCTTCTGCAGTTACCTTTGTTCTTATGTTCTTATGTTCTTATTGTTAGGTAGGTACATTTAACCTCGAGTGAGGTAGAGTGTAATTTAGCCAGATTAATTTAGGCTATACTCAATATTACTTTTCAACTAATGAGCAAGTACCCAAGCTTCATTAGTAATACTTATTCAAGTCCTATGAAATTTGGACTTAAAGCCACCATGGCTACTCCTGAACAATTAAGGAGAACCTATATTGGCCTCAAAGGTCATTTAACTAGACTAATTAATAAGTCTGATACCTTGTCTAAAGCAACTACCATTGATTACTATCGACTAGAAACATCAGTGAGAGTGGCTGATCTAAAATTTGTTCAAGTTAGATCTACAAGCCAGTCTTATCTCAACCTACTGAATACCACTGAAACAGTTTTGAAATACAGTTTTGATATTCCTAGAGTACGACTTAATCAAACTAGAAATGCTCTACAAATCAAGGGGCCCAGAATGTGGAATGACCTTCCCAACCATGTTAAAGACTGTACCTCTCTCAACCAGTTTAAGTTAAAAGCGAAGCTATACCTAATAAATTCCCTGTAACCTACCTTACCCTTCTATTGTCAACCAATGTCTGTTTTTTTTTCTTTAAAGAGCGCTGTTTGTCGACATAATTGTATTTGTGCTGCTTTTTCATCTATGTTTTCATTTCTTGTTTTCATTCTACTCATTATGCTCAATTAATGGCCACTGCTTCGCAAAGCGGGGATGTTTCTGATGGGGGAGTTTAGTTTAGTTCATTTATTATGCACCCCATACCCATCTTGTGGGCGGTAGTGGAAAGGGTTACAGAGGCACATAATGGGCTCAGGGACTGAACCCCACAATTCATTTAGCTAAGCAAGTTACAATCTTGATGAGCTAGTTACAAAATTCAATATAAGTCATCACATCAACAATGGGTTCGAGATCGACCTCAAGTACAGGTTCTAAATTAAGCAACTGACATATGTGGAGAGCTAGTGTCAAAATTTATATGTTTGTCCTGCACACCGCCCCCCATCCAGTGGGCAGCGGTGGATAGGTTACAATCACTTAGTGATGGGGGAGAAAGAAACATTTGCGCAGCGCGTCCCTCGGCGTTGCGCGGGCAGTTTGGGGCCGTATAAATACGGGGGCTCAGTGGGGCTCTGCCCTCACTCCGCCTGCCCCCGCCGCTGCCCTCGCAAAGACCAAGGGTATGGAGATGGAGACCAAGGGTAATGTTCCCTGCTCACATTCTACATCCGCTTAGGACACAAGCATGTTATAGATTTGGTTTTAAGAATTGGTTCTTATTCCATTTTATTGTTTATGTATATATTGCTTAGTTGTATATACCCGTTCTTGGTATATGTATTGTTTATATTCAAGATTTATAGTGTTTCGTATTACCCCTGTTATAGTTGCTTTGTGCTCCCTTGCTGTTCTCCTACTGGCTTTCTCCCACCTTTGCTCTTAGCAAAGGTACTTCCCCCTTCCGTTTGCTGGAAGATTCTTAGAATTGTTAGCCCCCTTCATTGCTACAGTATAATTATTCGGAAAACTCTTTATTCATCCAGGATTGTTAATTAAGGAATCTCTTTTTAGAATCTCATTTCTAACTAGAAATGCTCTGCAAATCAAGGGGCCCAGAATGTGGAATGACCTTCCCAACCATGTTAAAGACTGTACCTCTCTCAACCAGTTTAAGATAAAAACTAAACACTACCTAATAAATTCCCTGTAATCTACCTCACTCCTCTATTGTCAACCATGTCTGTTATTTTCTTTTTTTTTAATCAACACTGTTTGTCAACCTATTGTATTTGTGCTGCTTTTTCAGTCATGTTCCCCCTTTTTTTATCTTTATTTGTATTTGTTCTCAACACTTTTTATTCTTTATGCCCAATTAGTATTAAGTCCTAGATATTAATGTTTTTCTTGCCCGAAACGCATTGCGTAATAGTGGCTTTAGGCATTGTATGTACTAGCTCTATCTATATATCAATCCATTAATGTAACATCACTTGTATGTATATACCTTACCTGAATAAACATCTGAATCTGAATCTCTTAATTCCTGCTGCCGGGCTCCCTCCCCCCGTTTTTCATCTCCGTATTGATTCAGCTAGGGTTTCCCTCTCGTCTGTGCTCTTGCCTGTCACGATAACACTGCATGCCGCTTCTGCCCACCCTTACT